AGGGTCTTGATAACATGTTCATAAATTTAGACTTTGAACCTATGAACCTTTAGATGGGGGAACCCCTGAGGAATTTAGCGCAAGGAAGTGAGTGACTTGTTGAAAGCTGTGATTTAGGAAATTACTCCTATAGCCAAGTAAGGGGTGAACTGAGATGGGAAGACAGGGAGAAGCAGTAGGGCCAGTCAGGGAGGCTATCCCATGAGGCCAGTGGAAATGCACTGAGGACTTGAATTAAGAATTGAGAATATGAACAGAAATTTCTCAAAAAAGACATTTATGCAGCCAACAAACATATGAAAAACAGCTCACCATCACTGGTCATTAGAGAAATGCAAATCAAAACCGCATTGAGATACCGTCTCACGCCAGTTAAAACGGAGATCATTAAAATCAACAGACAACAGATGCTGGAGAGGATGTGGAGAAATAGGAACACTTTTACACTGTTGGTGGGAGTGTAAATTAGTTCAACCATTGTGGAAGACAGTGTGGCGATTCCTCAAGGATCTAGAAATAGAGTTACCATTTGACCCAGCAATCCCATTACTGGGTATATAACCAAAGAATTATAAATCATTCTGTTATAAAGACACATGCACACGTATGTTTACTGTGGCACTGTTCACAATAGCAAAGACTTGGAACCAACCCAAATGCCCATCAATGATAGACCGGATAAAGAAAATGTGGCACATAGACACCATGGAATACTATGCAGCCATAAAAAAGATGAGTTCATGTCCTTTGCAGGAACATGGATAAAGCTGGGAACCATCATTCTCAGCAAACTGACACAAGAACAGAAAACCAAACACCACATGTTCTCACTCATAAGTGGGTGCTGAATTCACTTGGGTGTCCAGGTGCCAATGAGAACACATGGACACAGGGAGGGGAACATCACACACTGGGGCCTGTTGGGGTCTGGGGGCTAGGGGAGGTTTAGCAGCAGGGAGGGGATAAGGGAAGGGATAGCATTAGGAGAAATACCTAATGTAGATGATGGGGTGATGGATGTAGCAAACCTCCACGGCACGTGTATATCTATGTAATCCATCTGCACATTCTGCACATGTACCCCAGAACTTAAAGTGTAATAATAAATTTTAAAAAAATCAACAACAAAAAAGAGTAGAAACAGAGCAAGGCATTTTAAAGGATCTGGCAGTTGGCTTCATGTGGGTGACAAGGAGCAGGAACACTGGAAATGGCACCAAGATTCCAGGTGCCTGGGGAAATGGTGGCATCATGCACTCAGAAGGGAAAGGTCAGAGCCGAAGCAGCACTGGGAAGAGATGGTGATGGAATCGTTGGATGTGTTGAGAGGATAGTCCTTTCCTGTCTACTCTTTCCTTCACTTATTTTTATTTAGCTTGTTAACTTCAATCTTAGGTTCTAATAATGGGGCATTGAAAGTTTCTAAAATAAAAATCCAAATAAACCCCCTTGAAGAAGATACCAAGGCTGAATCAACAGTAGTTATGCTAACTCATCACTTGATTCCATATGCTTGGGGTCACATGTAGCTGGTGCTTTTCATCATCAATATGCCCACCCACCCCAAGCAGTCAACTTACTTTGCATTACCAAGGGATAGGTCTTAGTTGTAATTTTCCATATGGAGCCGTGGGCCAGAAATGTAGGGGCCTCTGCCCAAACCACAAAGAGTATCAACTGTCAGGACATAAACAGTATTCCAGAAATCTGATTATTCAGTCTTAAATAGTCACAAACTCAAGTATCTGAAGGGAGAGGGCAAGCATAAGCTTGGCACCATTTTAAAGTTATTAAAATCTGGTTCTATTCTTCAGTATGTGGATTCCCAGGAAAATTCCTCTCTGATTTTCCAACCTCTTAGGTCTGTGGGTTATAGTAAGAGAGAAGCAGCAGATTAGTTCTGATTAATTTCCATCATGAGAGTCAACTCTTGCTTTTCAGGGAGAGATTAGGGAAGGGATGACATGGGTAATTAAAATCCACAGATAGCACAAACACCCAATGTAACTGGCAATTTCAAATCCTCCTCCACTAAATTTTTCTTATTAGAGGTGTCAAGTAGCAAGGCTCAGCCCACCTTTGGGGGCTGGATCTAACAAAATGTGAACGCATTGGCAGGCAGGCAGGTGGGAGCAAGAAGATGAACAATGAGAAGAAGCTGGGGGTTGTGGGCCTTCCGAGATGGAAAATCGCCCAATCTTGCCCACTCTCTGATGCTGTCATTTAGGAGACTCACATCAGCATCATTAGTTTACATTGTGGGCTGCCAGGCGAGACTTTTAGAAAGGCCAGCTTACTCTTGTTCATCACAGAAGAGCAGCTCACTGATCAAGAGCCCCACTCTTGCAGAGAATGGGTTTGCAGGGATTGCAGGGAGAAGGAGGTGACATGGCAGAAGTGGACCTCCAAGAGCACAGGACTTTATTTTCCTCTGGCCTTAAGTAAGCTCTGCCAGTTTCAGCTATTGATGTGATGTGGGCTCAGCCCAGCTTGCAGCTGCTACCACTTTAGATTCTCTCAGACATAGCCTTCCACAGCCTTCATAGGGCCTCCCATTTGCCTAGCATTCAAGACTGCACGTTGCCTAACCCAAATCATACCTTTCTTCTCACTACTCTCCAAAACATACACCACTTTGGCCAAGTTCACCCCTGGTGGGGAGCATATCTGAATTTCTTACCACCTTGTCTTTGCTCCTGTCATTTCCTCACCAAATCCCCCCACTCCCCAGTTCTCTACCCACTCCTCTTGCTAGAAATGGAACTCCTCTTCAAGGTCCAGCTCCTCCTTAAAACCTTCCCTATTTCCCCCAACTCAAAGCGATCATTCCTTCCTATGACAGCACCTTACTGGTATGTCTTTGATGATGCCACATTATGCTTTCTATTATATCACGGTAGCTTATATACCTTATGCCTTTAATGTTCTCTGAAATGTGGGTCATGACCCATTAGTGAGCTTTGAAATCACTTTAGTGGGTTGTGACCTGAATTTTAAAAAATGAAATAGAATAGAATAGAACATTGTAGAATGCATTACACAAAAACATATTTCCCTCTTTGGTTTATGATCAAAAAGCTTGACAGTCACTGCCTCAAGTAGTAGTAATGTTTTCAGCTTTTATATAACAGAAAGCCTTGATCCAACCAGCTTAAATAACAGCGAATATATTATCTTACATAATGCAAAGTCTGGAGATAAGGCAGCTCTAAGTTTGGTTTATTAGCAATTTTTTTTCTTAGATCTACCTAATTTGTCCTATTAACAGTTTGGCAACAGCCTCAAGGACCCAGGTACTTGCCATCTCTGTCGTCTTTCCAGCTACCTCCCCTCTTGTTTGCAAAACGGGCTGTAGGGCTTTCTTGCGCCATAACAACATCCACAGAAAAAGGAAGCTATCTATTCTTTGGGTCCCTATGTATCAGCAAAGAAAATCTTTCCTAGAACTCTCCCTACCCCCAGATCTTCTATATTGCTCCTTGAAACAAAATGAAATCAAGTGCATTACACACCTAGCAGGAGTGGCAAATCACAATTAGTCTAAAGCAAAATTAGTTTCGATCAAGATAAGAGCATTTTCCATGCGCATCTCTCTGGTTCTATTGGTCAGGGAGAAGGGGAAATTGATGGATCTGGATCTGGGATAGGCCAGCAAAATTATCTTCCAGCCATGTACAAGGTGCATCTCAGGGGGGCCAGGGTCCCTTTCTCTGCAATGCTTCTCACGTAGCAAGTCTAGACAGTCACCTCCACTTCCAGTGATAAATGAAATCAATCACTTTCCTCAAAGTATGAATATTCATGGGATGCAGGGACCAAATACCCAATTTGAGATACTCGAGGCTTTCTGCAGGCATAGCTCATGTTTTTTGTTCCTATATAACTCACCAGAGGTTAACATTTTTTCCAGGTCTTAATTTTTCTATTGAATTATCAAGCATAAAGGGCTAGATTAACAACATTGTACATTGTAATACAATTTGAATAATAAGATACATATTTGTCACAATGCAGATGGCAAATGAAGGTTTACAGATGGAATTGTGGCTCTCAAGACGAGATGGTGAGCGTGTGGCGGTGGGTGTGGAGAGAGGCGGTATCAGAGGTGGAGAGACATTACGTCATCCCAGATATGGGGTTTCTTTGGGAACTCTGGCAGGGTTATTGCTGAATCATTCCGTGAGGCAAATTATTGGTGCGTTAGCTGGACAAGGCTCACTGTAATTATGCCCTTGTGTCCCCCACCACTCCCCTTGGCATTTCTCTGCTTATGTTGCCATTTAAGGCCAGACTTAACATGAACGCATAAAATCATCATATTGCAAGAGTCAGTGGCAGAAAGGATGAAGGCAGTGCTGTTTTTCCTGGCTTGAATACACGCATGTGTGCATGTGTACATGCACATACACAGACACACACATATCCCTTATCAGAGAAACCACAGGTTCTGAGGACTTTGAACTGCAGAAAAGCTTTTGCCTCTGAGATAGTTAGACTGGTTTTGTTTGTTCCTGTTACAAATGCAAGACCCTCCCATCTGCCCAGTAGATAAAACAGGACTGTGAGTGCTTTGCAATTCCTTGGAGGCTGTCTTGTGCTCAGGAGTACCAGACAGACCTCATCTCACTGCCTAACATTAGGTGCTGTCAATGAACCTGGTTGGCCAGAGTGGCCCAGGATGGGAAGGCAGCAGGCTTGGATTTTACTCTTGCTTATGTTGCTAATTTATGACTCAGTTGTTAGGCTGTGTTGGGTCATTGGGCCCCAGGCACAGTCCCAGCTCTGCCAGAGTCTGCTTAAATTCCATTTTCAGTTTTAGGGGCTTCTTTTTAAGAAGGTCTTTGGCAAACTGGGCAGCATGCTGGCTAGAATGGGCAGCGTGTGAGGTGTCCGGAGACCATGAAGAAACAACAGGAGTAATAATTATTATTGTATAAGGCTTTCCATTGCATTTCCCATTGGATTTACTCAATATTTCTTTACTTTTTGTTTTTAAACAGGGTCTCACTGTCACCCAGGTGGGAGTACAGTGGTGCAATCATACCTTACTGCAGCCTGCACCTCCTGGGCTCAAGCGATCCTCCTGCCTCAGCTCCTGAGTAGCTGGAACTACAGGTGTGTGCCACTGTGCCTGACTTGATGTGCTAAACCTTATGAGGTATTTACACTTATTCAAAAAAGATTCTAGAGACCTTAGATGGGAGAGATTGAGGCTGGTGCCTAGGAACCTTCTCCAGTGGATTGTTTAACAGATGGCTTGGGACTGCTTGGAGAAGGAAGTGGTCAGTACAGAGGGCTGCTGTGGCTTCACCCTCATTTCCTTTCTCCAGCATGACCCTGTTATTGATTATAAGAGCTAATATATATGAAGCGCTTTCTATGTGCCAGCACTATGCTAAATGTTTCAAAGCATTTAAACTTCACAAAAAACTGTGAGGTGGGTGCTGTTATTATTTCTATTTATAGATGAAGAAACTAAGCCTTGGAAAGAGAAGCACCTGCATTTCTGTTTGTCCCTCTTCCTTCTGTTCCTTAAAAGCCTGGCTCATTCTCATTCTTCAGGACTCTGTTCAAGGTCATCGGTGAGGCTTTCCCTGCCCACCTATCTAGCTGCCCACTGCTGACCCCAGGGCCCTGATAAAAACACTCACCCATGTCCATTTCCTTCATAGGACATATTCGAATCTGCAGATACCTTAAAAAAAATTTTTTTTTTAAAGAGATGGGGTCTTGCTCTGTTGTCCAGGCTGGAATGCAATGGCATGATCACAAGTCACTATAGCCTTGAACTCTGGGGCTGAAGCAGTCCTCCCACCTCAACATCCCGAGTAGCTAGCACCACAGATACAAGCCATCATGCCCCGCTAATTTAAAAGAAAAAAATTATAGCGACAAGGTTTTACTGTATTTCCCAGGCTGGTCTCAAACTCCTGAGCTCCAATTTTCCCACCTTGGCCTCCCAAGATGTTGGGATTATGGCGTGAGCCAAGGTATTTATTTACTTATTCACTTGCTTAATTTCAGTCTCTACTATTCAGACATAAGCTTGGTGAGGACAGGGACCTTGTCCCCTCCTGTTTGTCCTATGTTGGTGTCTAGCAGGGTGTCTGGAATATAACAGGAACTTAATAAAATATTTGAATGAATGAGTGCATGCATGAATGATTGTAATTCAGTAATTACATTGGGATTTGGGCCCAAGCTTGTCTCATGCCAGAGACCAAGGGCTCAACACCCCTCTGTTCTGCTCCTGTGTTATACTCACTCATCCATTCAACAAGCTTCATAAAATTATTAACAAATGCCAGGCACTGAAGTAGGTGCTGGAGAATTTAATGAGTAAGACACAGTCTCTGCCCTTGAAACTCTCACTTCTGAAAGGTCAAGGTAGTGGTTGGAAGTAGAAAATTGACCCACCTTATAATAGAGTTAAATACAAAGTGACATAGCCACAAAAAGAAGGGACCACCTAGCTGCCCTGCCAGACTGGGAAGACTTCTGCAGAGTTGGTGACTTTGAACCTGACCTTGAAGGAGAATTCTGGGCTGTTGGGAAAGGAGTCTGTGTATAGAGGCAGGGAGGAGAACACACAAGTATCTAATGAGCGGCATGGGACTCTGACCATCCTACACTGTTGAGTCACATTTTGATCTCAGTGCCTAGTTGTTAGGAGGGCCACTGACCAACTGACCACTTAGTGGGAACATCATGAAGGGAAATTTTATCTGGGGTGGGGGTAGGGGGCACTGGGTGTGGTATCTGGATGGCCCCTAACTGTCCTTCAACTCTAAGAGTGGTGTGATTGGGAGGACTGCCTCATGGAAAAAGGCACCAAAATACAGAACCAGACTATAGGGATACACTCTTGAGGACAGAATTCATGTGAGTGTGTGTGTTCGCACGCGCATGTGTGTGTGCGCGCGTGCATGTGTGTGTGTGTGCATGTGTGTGTGTATGAATATGAATATATGTATATATTCATAGCATGGCCATATTCATATTCTTGCCCTAAATTTAGATAATTTCTTAATGAGAAGGATAACTACAACCAAAATGTACATATTGGTATGTAGTTTCTAAAGCATCTTCTCAAACATGATCTCATTTTATCCTCCACTAGACTGCTAGGTATTCTGAAACTCAGAAAGACCATTTATTCATTTATTCGGTTTATGTGTATCGAGAACAAAGCCCTAGCCCAGACCTGGGCAGTGCATAGGGGTATAGTCCCAAGAGTGCTTAGGTACAAAGATGAAATGAAGGGCTGTGAATCCATCCAGCATGTGGGAAAGGAACTCCAGCCAGGGACCCCTGAGTTGTGCTGAACATGGCTGCCAGCAGCCTGGGATCCTGAGTCAGTCTTGTCTTGTACTCACTCTCCAGGCAGTGGGTAATTAATGAGATCATTACTACATGTGTCCTGGTTAGATTATAGGCTGGCTGCTAAGACAAAGACCCTTAAATAGGTAGGATTTCACCATGATGAAAATTGATTTCTCTCTCATGCAGCCCTCCAGCTAGGTATGGTGGCTCTGCTCCAGGAAGTCATGAAATGCTAGGCTCTGTCCACTTCGTTGCTTTGCCTGTTCTAGGGAGCTGAACCCATCCAGAGAGTCCAAGATGACTCCTCATTATGATTCATGCTGTGTTCAGATGCAACTTGACACAGATGCTTAAATGACATCTCCAGGACCTGGGCCTCTCTCAGTGTGGCTCCCTCATCAGCTGAATCAGAATCTCCTCTGCACCCTCAGGCAGGCTCTTCCACTGTGGTTGTAAGAGGGTTTGGGCAGCTCCCTCTTCATGTGCTCTCAGCTTTATGTCCAGCATCTCCCCTCTAAGAGTCAAATGAAAGTCCCGTGCTGCCTCTCAGTGACCTGCACCATTCCCAGTGGTGGGACAGGAGAAGTTGTTCGCTAAGACTACTAGAAGCGCCCCTGCAGCCTGCCCCCACAACTGTGTAGCTGAGAGTGAGGGAAGGATGAGTCCCTACAGAAAATTCTCTATACTGTTTGACCAGGAGAAGGATGAATGACTGTAAAGTAGTTAAAAAAAAAACAACAACAAGGCCAGGCATGGTGGCTCATCCCTGTGATCTTAGCACTTGGGAGGCCAAGGCAGGTGGATCACCTGAGGTCAGGAACTTGAGACCAGTCTGGCCAACATGGTGAAACCCTGTCTCTACTAATAATACAAAAATTAGCTGGGCATGGTGGCAGGTGCCTGTAATTCCAGCTACTCTGGAGGCTGAGGCAGGAGAATCACTTGAACCCATGAGGCAGAGGATAGAGTGAGCCGAAATCACACCATTGCACTCCAGCCTGGGCAACAAGAGCAAAATTCCACCTTAAAAATCAAAATAAAAAACAAAAAAAACAAAACAGAACTCATATTTCTTCTCTCAATCAATTATATGTACTTCTAGAGTCTATGATCCATAGCAGCTGTCTTCAAACTCCCCAGTTTTGACTATGCCCCCAATAAGCACATTTATTTCTTTGTAAGTACCACATGTGCTATTCTACTAATATATCTCTGTGATACAGACTACCAGTTGTGCACAGAGGTCCATCCTTTCCTACTTCCTCAGTATAGCATTCCCTAATGGGCACATGGCATCCTAGAACAGACTACATTTCCCAGGACCCCTTGCAGCTACGTGTGGTCATGTGACTCAGTTTTATCCAGTGAAATTCAGAAGGGAGGGCGCATTTCCAGGAAGTGTGCTTAATGGGAGAGTATACAGCTCTTCCCTCCTTTTTCCTTTCTGCTGCCTAGAATGTGGATGTGATGGCTGGACCATGAACAACAACCTTAGATAATGAAGTGGAAGCCACGTGTTGAACATCTTGATGCAACCAGAGAAGACACTTTGCTAGCTCTGGGCAGCATACCACCAGACTCCATTTATTTTATTTTATATTATTTATTATTATGATTTTTGAGACAGACTTTCGCTCTTGTTGCCCAGGCTGGAGTGCAATGGCACAATCTAAGCTCACTGCAGTCTCTGCCTCCTGGGTTCAAGCAATTCTCCTGCCTTAGCCTCCCGACTAGCTGGAATTACAGGCATGCACCATCAAACCTGGCTAGTTTCATATTTTTAGTAGAGATAGGGTTCCTCCATGTTGGTCAGGCTGGTTCTCTTGAACTCCTGACTTCAGGTGATCCACCCACCTTGGCCTTCCAAAGTGCTGGGATTATAAGTGTGAACCACCACACTTGGCTGGACTTCATTTATATTCAAGAGAAAGGAACTTCTCTCTTGTTTAAAATGTTGTCGTTTTGAACATTCCTTTCTTTTAATCACAGGCAAGTCTAATCTTATCTGATACGATTATAATGCATGTACTAAAATTGATATAAAAAAGAGTTAAAATAACTATAAAGTTATGTTTGATAACTTTGGGAGTTCTAATATTTTTGGTACCACATTGGATAGAATCTCACATCTCTGGAGTCAAGGCTGCATTCCTGCCTCTCCCTGCCCATTTTAGAGACCTCAGTCTTCTCAGCCCATGCTCTGTGGTGCCCAACAGGGTTAGTGACATTTGTGGCTGTGTATCTCTCCTCCTCTGAATACACTTTGCTCTTTGAGGAAGTAGCCCTGAAGGAAGTTCTCTGAATCATCTAGCACAGCTAGGGCAAAATCACACTTAGTCCTTGCCTTTTACTTATTCTTTTTCTGTCATCCAGACCTTGCTTTTGCTGGGAAGCAGACAAGAAACTCTGAAGAAATTGAAAAGATGAGATACGATCTGAATTTAAAGAAGTGGGCAATCTGTAATTGTCAGAAAAACAGATGTGCACTTCCAGCCTGTGCTGCTGCTGCTAAGGTGCACCCACTCACAAACCCACTTCTCCGAGCACATGACTCTGCTAGCTCTTTGGGGCTCTGCAGGGAAGGAGTGAGGGAGGGGGAAGAGGCAGAGAGCTGGGTTGTCTGAAAGCTTTCCCCAGGCCTCACCTTCCTCTTCCCTGGAAAGCAATGCCCGTGAGGTCATATCCATCACACCACCTCAGACAGAGATTGTCAGGATGAACTCAGTTCCATCACTTTGAGGCGGAGGGTATGCCGATCCCCATACAGGCTGATCCTGAGAAACCAGACCCTGCCTGGTCTGTTTAGGATCTGGGCGAGTCCATCCTCCCTCCCTTCTCCCCCGTGAGGCACCAGTGTCCTGATTGTATCACAGCTTCAAAATTCCCTGACTCATGCCATCCTCGATTTTAGAAAAGAGCTTATTCAAGTGGTGTAGGCTGCACGCTCCACCCCCTCCCACTCAATCCAGCGATTGAATTACAGCACCCATGTGTGGCAGAGGGGCCAGGGAAGGAAGGGGCTGGGAAGTGGGAGAGGGGCTCCTGGAACCAGAGGGAGAGGCCCTTGAAGAAAACTTGTGATGATCTCATTATGAAAAAAATCTCTTGGTGCCCAAAGAATGGCTGGCCCTTAATCCCAAGTGTGGGCAGTCAGAAATGAGGAAGACCTCTGAGGTCATCCAAGTCTGCTAGGGAAAACCAGCCGAGCTGAAAAGGAAGGCATCCCCTTCCCCCATCACCGTCTGATCTGGGCTATTCTCCCACACTTTTAGGTAGCCAGGCTATCATGTGATTTGCTAGTAACCATGGCAACAAACCTTGTTTCACGAAGTATATGGAGAGAAACCCCAGGGAAAGAGATCGGTGTTGTGTTTTACCCAGGGCAGCTTGCCTCTAACTCAGTCTGTTCTCCTCACTGCTGTGGCAATTGTTGTTGAGGAAATGGCAGTGATTTGCTCTCTTCTGAGCTGGAGACATTGTGGATGTTTTTGTTCTCCTCCTGCTACTTGTCTCCCCTATTTCGGAGCACAGTCTCTGAAGACGAAAGACAAAAATAGCTCTCTCCAAAGGAGAGGATGCTAATGTGCTTTCTGTGCTTTCAAAGTGGGCTTTTTGATTGTAAAAACCTCCACCTCTAGTAACTTAAAACTGGTGGCAAGTTCTGCTTTCTGACCACAAGAGAAGCACCAGCCACTGGGTTCACACACTGCTGTCTGCCATGAGAAGCCGCAGAGAAGTGGTCTGCACTGGGGAGACTGAACAGCAGTGAGTGGGGGTGCAACGCCCACCCAACTGTGGGCACCGACACGCTCCAGCTCTCAGGCAGAGCTAGAGGAAGTGGTTCAGATATTCTTTGTTGCAAGTGAAGGGCATAATTATAATTTGGCGAAACACCCGTCGTTAAGTGATCCTGTAGCCAGCAGACAAATGACCGCTGTGGGATAATGTCTGAGCTCGCACAGCAGGCCCTGCAAGCCACCTGTCAATCTGCCTTTACAGAGACAAGCCAGTCAGGTGCTGCCTTTTTAGGAGAATGGCGTTCCTGACTCAGCCATGTGCCGTCTGTGTGACCTTGAACAAGTCACTTAGTCTGTTTGGCTGTCAGTTTCTCCATCTTTAAAATAGGCAGAGTGATTCTTGGGTAGCCATTCTCACCAGGTTTTCATAATCATATTTAATAATATGGAAAAAATACTTCAAAATATAAATTAAAAAGGACAGTACTTCAAAACTATAATCACTACAAAGTATCATCTTTCTTTTAGTTGTGGAAGTATTCATTTCTAAAGAATTCAAAAAGTCAGAACGAATAAGTAATTAGGTCAAAAAGTGATGGTAGTGCCAACCCACAGAAGTTACCGCTGTGTGATTTTTAGCTAACATTTAATAAGTGCAAAGCCAATTATGTATTTCATTTCATCTTCACAACACTTCCATGGGTGTCACTGATTTGTATTTTGCAGATGAGACTCCAGTGATAGAATGAGGATCCAGCTCCTGGATAGTCTGATACCCGAGTCTAGGCTGTTAACGCGCTGCTAGAACACTGTGCTGGGGCCATTTCATTTGAAACATTCTCTGTGCTGTTGGAGGGCAGTTACCAGGTGGTTTCCTGGGAGCTCACAGAGCAACATGGCCTGTGTGTGCGTGTGGGCGTGTGTGTGTATTTATGTTTATAAAGAGGAGGCCGCCTTGCTTCCTTATTTCAGGATAGCGCGGTCCCATGCTACCATGACCATCTTTTAGGGTCTTCATGGAGAACTTCTAGTTCAGCCAAGAATGTTGTGTCTGGCCTGGTTTCGATGGTGAGAACAGAAGTACTGTTAGTGAGTGTGCAAAGCCAGAAGGAGACGGAGTCTTGTGACAACACTGCCGAGGCAGAGAAGCAGTCAGCTGGTTTGAAAAGCTGGGCCACCTGGGTTCCATACCCTTGGACTGTCTAATCTCACTGTACTGGTCACATGTGCCCTTCCAGAGTCACTCTAAACTCTTCTTGTCCTTTTATGGCCTGGTGGGCTCACCGCCTGGACCACATCAATGGGCCTCCTTGCCCTTTGTTTTCTGGCTGCATTTGGGTGATGGGGAGCCTTGCCAGGAGAAAAGTGAGGCCAAGGCATTATTCTCCTGGTTCCCTTGTCCTGGGTGGCTGAGGTTGGCTGCCCTTCAGTGATAACTTCCAGCTGTTGCTAGCCCTGGGGCATCATGCTATCCCTTGCAAGGTTTCTTACCTTGCTTATACTTTCATAAATGTCCCCTTATTAAACTTTCCTCCATTTCCTAGCTGAAATGTGCTCATCTGCCACCTGCTGGGACCCTGCCTGATACAGTAGGATGAAGGACCTGCTTTCTAGGACTATTGTGACAATGAAATAAGTGAATACGTGTAAGGCAGGTGCTCCATGTAACTATCATGTGGAAGTGGGATTAGCCCCCTTGCCCAGCGCATTTGCAAATGCCCTCTTCAGGGTTACAGTCTGGCCAGCAAATACTCTGCTTGGCAGAGTGGTTTGTCCAGTAGCCCCACCTCCATTGTCTCCCCAGCTTTGGCTGCCTTGCAAAGGGAAACAATGTGGGCTGGGCACAGTGGCTCACGTCTGTAATCCCAGCACTTTGGGAGGCCGAGGTGGGCAGATCACGAGCTCAAGAGATGGAGGCCATTCTGGCCAACGTGGTGAAACGCTGTCTCTACTAAAAATACAAAAATTAGTTGGGTGTGGTGGCAGACGCCTGTTGTCCCAGCTACTTGGGAGACTGAGGCAGGAGAATCGCTTGAACCCGGGAGGCAGAGGTTGCAGTGAGCCGAGATGGCGCCACTGTACTCCAGCCTAGCAACAGAGCAAGACTCCATCTCAAAAAAAAAAAAAAAAAAAAAAAAAAAAAAAGAAAAGGAAACAATGTATATTTAATAAATTGAAGTCGGTGATTTGTATAATGGGAAAAAGAGAAAAAAATTCATTAAGTTCATTGAATGTGCAAATGTAGTGTCAAGTAAGCATACACGGAAGTTATTTATTTATCCTCAAAAATATATTAAGCATCTGCCAAGTGCAAAGAATTTGGCAATGAATAATATAGATGTGGCCCCATTCTCTCATAGAGCTCCAGGAGGAAAGACACAGTGAAACAGGATACTGAGCAATCTTTTCCCTGGGGGAGGTGAGGTACCGACTGAGTTTGAAAGGTGAGTTGGAATCAGTCAGATGGGGGATAGGATGGTAGGCATGGGGGCCTCTCGGGCTGAGGGGGTCCCACAGCAAAGAAGAACTTAGCTGCAGAACAACCAGCAGAGGAGGGAGTGTGACTGTGAGTTGCAGGCCGGGGCTGGACCCTGGCAGAGTTTGTCCTTGTATCGAGAAACCTGGACTGCAGTGATGAGTTTACGCAGGGGAGAGACACAGTCAGATTTGGGTTTTAGATGGATCCCTCCGGCTATTATGTGAAGGACCAATTTAACATAGACAAGACTCCCGACTTTTGGGGAGGCTTAATAGTCATCAAGGCAGGTGACATGAAAGTCCCAACAAGGTCACAGTAATAGGGAGGAGGCAACTGTTTGAAGAAATATTTTAAGGGGTAAAATCTCAGCACTTAATGACTGATTGGCTTTGGGATATGAAAGGAAGAGAATAACACTCCCCGCCCAACCTCAGTGTAGGTGCTAGGGTGGATGGATGGATGGATGGATGGATGGATGGATGGGGGGATGGATGGATGGATGGATGGATGGGGGGATGGATGGATGGATGGATGGATGGATGGATGATGGATGGATGGATGGATGGGGGATGGACAGATGGATGGGGGGATGGATGGATGGATGATGGATGGATGGATGGGGGGATGGATGGATGGATGGATGGGGGGATGGATGGATGGATGGATGGATGGGGGGATGGATGGATGGATGGATGGGGGATGGATGGATGGATGGATGGATGGGGGGATGGATGGATGGATGGATGGATGGGGGGATGGATTGGATGGATGGATGGATGGATGGATGGGGGGGATGGATGGCAGAGCCACCAACTGGGTGGGAAGAAAGAGCAGATTTGGGAGGCGTAGTTGCTCTTGTCTGTCCGGGACCTTTTGCACTTCTGGCTCCACTCTACTCTGATAACGAACCCCAAGAGAAGTGGGGCCATGATCCGAGCCAGGCCTGTCAAATTTACTCCTGGGAGCTTAAATCTATACAGTGACCTGGTTCTCACCCAACAGTCACCAGGTTATTCAGTAATCCCTGTGATTCTAGGAACCACCCTGCAATCCTTCCAATTAATGAGCTAGCTGGGATCGGTTCCTCTTGCTTGCCACCAAACGCTCCTAATGGACAGATGAAGAGTTCATTTCTGGAGCTGATGAGTTTCAGGCCCATGTGACATCCATGTGATGACCAGCAGCTCCAGGAAGTATGAATCAGAGAGGAAAGGTCTGGGCTGGAGTTATCAGCATATGAATCATGACTGAAACTAGGAAAGCATCAGACCACCAACAGAGAGAATAGCAGTGGACAGGGTGGCGTCCAGGAGAATAAGTAAAGGCTGGAGGGGAAGAAAAAAGGAGAAACTGGAAATTAAATGGCCAGACAGGCCATGGAGAACCAGGAGAGCAGGATTTCCTAGAAACCAAGAAAGTGAGTTTCAGGAATGAATGCTTGAAGATTTTACACACAGCTGAGAGGCTAAAGTAGGGGCTGAACTTTGGACTTGAAAAGTAGATTGTTGATGACTCATGGGGCAATCTCACCAAAGGAAGACGGAAGCCAGGCTGTATGAAGTGGCAGCCAGCACGTGAGGCGGGAGGGGAGGAATTAGAGGGAAGGGTTCTGGGCAGTTTTAAACTAGAGATGAAAGAGACAAGATAGTCCTGGGGGGAGGCTGGGTCGAGGGAGGGCTTGTGTTAGTAACTCCAATCAGGATTAGCCAGATGCAGAAGCCTTCCATCCAAAACCTACTACCATGTGGTCTGAGTGAATCAGTACTTGAATGGTAAAGATAACCCCAACCACACAGAGTACTCTTTCCCAGGTTGGAATTTTGCCTGCTGTCAGATGCATCATGACTAAGTGTTGGGGGTGGGAGGGGGTTGATGAGAATTTTGGAAGTATATAAACTGGTAGATTTCTTGTGCTACTTCATGCGTGATCTAGTTTCTAGACAGGTCAAAAGCAAAACAATAACAATAACTAAGTGAAGAAAAAGAGGACAAATTGTGTTTATTCTTTTTGTATTCAAATTAAAAATCCCCTTCCCACCCCAAAATTCAGGGGAAAAAAAGTATCAGAAATTAGTATTAAAAAGGACAATAACTGCTCTTATGTTAGAGTATGAGAATATATTCCTGGCTGGCCACGGGGGCTCATGCCTATAATCCCAACACTTTGGGAGGGGAGATCCTGGGAGGGGAGAGGAGCTGAAGGTTAAGTTGATCGGCAATAGACAATTAATCATGCCTATGTAATAAAGCCTCTGTAACAATCCCCTAGGACAGGGTTTCTTTCTTTCTTTTTTTTTTTTTTTTTTTTTGAGCTGGAGTGCAGTGGCACAATCTTGGCTCACTGAAACCTCTGCCTCCTGGGTTCAAGCAATTCTCCTGTCTCAGCCTCTCGAATAGCTGGGATTATAGGTTCATGCCACCAAACCCAGTTAATTTTTGTATTTTCAGAAGAGACGGGGTTTCGAAATGTTGGCCAGGCTGGTCTCAAACTCCTGACCTCAGGTGATCAGCCCGCCTGGAATTCCCAAAGTGCTAAGATTACAGGCGTGAGCCACCACGCCTGGCCAGGCCGGGGTTTCTGGAGAGCCTCCAGATACCTGAAGCCATGGAGGTTTGTGGAGGGTGGTATACCCAGAGAGAGCGTGGAAGTCCATACCCCTTCCCACATACTTGCTTTTGTATCACTTCCATCTGACTGTTCATCTGTGCCTTTCGTAATATCCTTATAATAAACCTGTGTTGACGAAAAGAGTCAAACTCTGTGAAATATTTGAAGAGATTTATTCTGAGCCAAATATGAGTGACCAGTGGCCTGTGACACGGTCCTCTGGAGACCCTGAGAACCCATGTGTCCAAGGTGGTCGGGTGCAGCTTAATTTTGTGCATTTCAGGAAGACATGAAACATCAATCAAATACATTTAAGATACATATTGTTCCGCTCCAGGAAGGCGAGGCAACTCAAAGGAGGTGGGGTTCGAGGTTATAGGCAGATTTAAAATTTTTCTGATTATTGGTTGAAAGAGTTATTACCAATAAAAAGGAATATCTGGGTTAAGATGAGAGGTCATGGAGACTAAAGTTTTATCACGGAGATGAAGCCACCAGATAGCAGGCTTTAAGGAGAGTAGAATAGACTGTAAATGTTTCTTATCAGACTTAAGTTCTGTGTTGATGCAGTGTGCCTGTCGGCTTTCCCTGAATTCCAATAGGGAGGAGGTCATAATGAGGCATATCTGACCCCCCATTCCAGTCACGGCTTGAACCAGTTTTTCAGGTTAAATTTGGAGTGCTCTGGCCTAGAGGAGGAGGCCCATTCAGACGGTTGAGCACCTTAACATTTTATTTTTGGTTTACACCAGTAACTACAAGATTTTTTTCTTGAGTTCTGTGAGCAATACTAACAAATTAATCAAGCACAAGGAGGGGGTCATGGAAGCCCCAGTTTATAGCCAATTGGACAGAAGTATAGGAGACAATCTGTGACTCTCGGCTGGTGTCTGAAACATGGGGCAGTCTCCTGAGGCTGAGCCCTCACCTGTGGGGTCTGATGCTATCTCCCTGTAGACAGGATCAGAACTGAATTGAACTGAGTCATTGGTTGCTGGTGGGGAGAAATCCCCACATACTTTCTTGGTGACCAGAGGTCACAGAAGTCTTCTGTGTTGATTATCGAGTGAGAGTACAGGAGCAACTGATTTTGTTCATCCCTATATTCTCAAACCATGTAACTCACTTCAGCTCATAGAAACATTAGTGGATGTGATGTGAGCAGAGGCTTTAATGTGCTTTTGGGGCTTGGCTTTGCCTCTTGCACTTCTGCCATCTGCCACAAGATGAATCTACCCGAAGAGCCTCTGGTCCCAGAATGAGGAGACACTTGGAATAAACCTAAGCACAACAAGCAGCCTGGAGTCAAGTCTATCTGGTCCCAGCCACCCAAGAGAGTCATAGCCAACCTGCACACACAGAAGCAATAGATATTTGTCAATGCACTGAGATTATGTGATTGTTTGTTACATAGCATTATAGTAGCAGATATCTGACTACAATAATTGCTCAGACGTGAATCTGTAATCATTTTTTACATTTTCATTTCCTTAACCCCCATCGCTATTTCTCATCAGGTCCTCGGAAGTTCCTTTGAATCATCTTCCATGTCTGTTCCCTGACTTCCATCCCACTGTATCACCCTTCATCACTTCATAGTTGGGTTCTTACAATAGCTTCCTTAATGAAGTCTTATTGCTTCCCCATCCAGTCTTTCCCACAGAGAAGTGTGGCATGAACTACCTTACGAAGTCCTCACACAACAGGAAACCTCTGCTTCAAAGACTGAAAATGCTTCCATCTTTTTAGAGCCAAAGAAGCCAAGCAATTCAGAGCTATATTTTATGCATAATTTTAACAACTATTCTTAGCCTAGGGCCTGGTAAAATTATTTCCCCTGCTTTCCATACCTCTTGCCTTTTACCTTTTTGGGATGGTCCTAGTGATTATGGGTCATTTTATTTCTTCTCAAATCATATTTTACAAGTAACAAATAGAAGCTTTGCCTTGCATCAAGGTCAAATTTTCTCCTTGATTTGCAAGCCCTTCTATAATTTGGCTTCACCTCATCCATTTTTTTTTTTTTTTGAGATGGAGTCTCACTCTGTTGCCCAGGCTGGAGA